AGCGTGAGCTTCCGTGATTCATCCTAGACATGAAGCAGGGTGCACCTGTGTCTCAGGAGTCGCTAAACAACTTTAGGGCATTCCGCAGCCCTATTGTGAAGATCATCCAACGTCCAAGAGCTTCTCAGGCTCAAGGATCCACCCATCATCCCTCAAGTGTGATTGGGACGAGGTCTTCCTATCCAAGGCCGCACCAGAACCATATTTTCAAATAGGCCAAAAAAATTAAAAGATAATAAAAAAAATAAAAAATATTTTTAATAGTGAAAAAAGTAAAGAGTCTTTAATTGTAGTTGTACTTTTAAAAATCCTAAAAAAAAAGATATCTGCAAAAATTAATTTGAGAGTAATTTTTCTTTTAATATTTTTACATGTTTTAAAATATTTCATGATTAAACAATATATACACAGATAATAAAAAAAAAGAGTTTTGACGAATGTAATTTAGAATTTTTTAACAGTAAAAAGTAAAGAGTGTTTAATTGTAGTTTTCCTTTTACAAATCAGAAATAAAAATTAAAATAATAAAAAAGAGTTTTCAAAAAGTAATTTTAAAAATTATTGAACATTAAAAAAAAGTAAAGAATATTTAATTATATTTTTCCTACAAATCCTAAGAAAAACGAAGATTTGTAAAATAATTTGTTTAATATTAATTTTTCTTTTCTAAAATCCTAAAGGAAAGATAAAAAAAGTTACAAAAGAGTGTTTAATAGTAGTTTTTCCTTTCTCAAATCGAAAACATAGAAGATTTGTAGAATAATTATTTTAAATATTTTTATAAACAGTAAAAATTTCTATTTAAATAGTTAATTTTCTGTTTAAAATTCATAAACTAAAAGGAACTACAATTACTCACATTCACATACATGATTAAGTTCTCTCATATTTTGTCACCAAGTATAATAAGAGATATAAGAAAAATATTAGGTAAATTTTTCTGCACGTTCTTTTACATCTTACAAGGAAGAAGCGGTAAATTAGCATATTCTATATCCCACAATTTTTAATATATGCTGAAATTTTCAGAAATTCCAAATCACAAACTTTATCTCAAAATGATGTTCCAGTCATACTATTAAGGAATTTAAATCAACCAGAAAGACTTTGCAATGAAACAAAGTTACTAATAACCCGCCTAAGAAACAAGATTATTGAACTGAAACTTAGGGGGGGGGGGAATAAGATCTTATTCCTAAAATAAGTCTCACACCAACACAAACAATATGGCCTTTCAGACTAAAAAACATCAATTTCCTAAACGAGTTTGGTTTGCAATGACTAGCAACAAGAGTCAAGGTTAAAGTTTTAAAAAAGTTGGTCCATATTTGCCAAGTCTAGACGGACAATTGTCCGTCGTCTATCAAGCACCACTATAACTTCATGACTTCAAAGTCTTAAAGTAGGAATAAAACATAACTACAATAATGTTCTACAAAATATTGTATATCACAAAGTTTTCAATAATATATATATAAAGAGGTTAAATCGAACTATTGATGCTAAAATAAACATATTTGATGTTTATCTAGCAATATATTTGATATTTAACTGACATATTGTTGATTGATGTTGTGTATTAATATTTTGAATTGTGTTGCTTTTAACTTGTCTTACACAATATAAAATATAGAGAGGTTATACCAGATCAATGTGTTTTAATTAACTACAATTAACATTATTTTGAAAAGTAACTAAATTTATATATATAAAATGTTATACTATTGTAAAACACCATGGTTATTGAAATAGAATTACTAATCAGAACTTAGCAAGAAAAAATATTTTTAATACTAAAATAAGTGTTATATTAATATATAGTGAAAAATCCAAGTACTAATGTGAATTATTTTTTTTCATTTTTAATGTTTTTTGTGAAACTAAAACATCAAATAAAATCCGTGCAATCATTAATCAAATAATAATTTGTTAGCCAAAACAATAACTTTTAGGGAAATTGCACCATATATATATAAAAACATAAATGCATAAACTAACTAAAATTTCTCATTCTCTCCTACTTCTTCCTATCTCTCTACACTTTCTCTCCCAAAATCTAATTTTTTTTTATTATCTTAAAACATTGTATATTTTTGATGAAAAAATTATAATTTGGAATCTGCGTGTGGTGCGGACAAATATTTAGTATAATAAATAGAAAACTTCTATAAAATGTACATTTATAAGAGATTCAAATAATAATAAAACTTTAGTATGTTAAGAGAATATAATACATTTATTAAATGATTTTTATTGGCAGAGAATATCGGTCGGAAGTTCTTTTCATTTTAAGTGTCATTTACAGAAACAATATCAATTTAAATATAAAACTAATTTATAAATATTTTTTTATATTATAATATTTTGTTGAAAGTAAATATTTCCTTTTAAATTGAAAATCACTTTAAAAAATACGAAATGAATTTGAATCCTTAAGTGGCAGTTATAGAAATAAATATTTGATTTAATAGGAAACTACTTTTATCGGGGCTAGAAAGTAAATAACTCCTTTTACATTAGTCACCAAATTCTAGTAGCAATGGCATAAATCATATGAATTTAAAAGAAATTACTGTTTGAATACACATATTGTATGAGTGAGAGAGTATTTGTGAGTAAGTTCCTATAGAAACTAAGTATTTCTTTTCAAATTTGGTCACTGTCATCAATGAGAAACTGTTTTAATCATTTAAATGACAGAAATAAATCAAAACAAAAAAAAAAATCACAGAATTCTTTTCCATGATAACTAGTATAATTATGATTAACATTATTTGAGTAGTGAATATACGTACATATTTAATATTAAGAAAAACGTAGATTACAAACAATCTTTATAAAGTCATTTATTATGATCAATAAAAATGAGAAAAAGATAGAACAATACATTAATAATATAATAAATTGTCACATAAGAACTTTTTCAAATCAGTACACTATGATTGATTGACACAGCATTAGCATAAGCATTATACTATTTATTATCCAGTCAATATTTATAAAAAAAACATTTAGAAAAGCATTTACAAAATGCTAATACTCTTCAAATGATTATTGTTCAATACTCTTATACAGAGTGTTTGGGAGAGCATTTAGAATTAGAATATATATAAAAAAAACTAAAAAAATAATTATATATAATTTATTTATTTTTATTTAATAATATTAAAATAAATTTTAATTGCGATTAAATATTTTAAATTTTCTTAAAATAAATTATTTCACATTCAAAATTTAATATAATTTCTATATATATAAAGTAGAGTTTTTTCTCTTCTTATGATGCCATGTCATCAAATAGACTCACTATAATACGACATTGGCTTTTGTTTCTTGCACGACTTTCTCTATCTCTTTTTATATTTGGGTATTCTTTTTATTTTGGCCCACTACAAATTAGCATCTTCACCTTCTTATCGGGCTTACTATATCTTTTGGGTCGGTCCCATCTCAGTAGTCAGCTCTCTCCACCTTCAATCCTGCCGTAGTAACATAAGCCCTAAATATCACCACCTCTCAATACCACCAATTTAACTAGGCATGGGCATTCGGGGTCCCATTCGGGTTTCGGTTTTGTCCAATCGGGTCTCGGTTCTTCGGGTTTATCAAAATCAGCCCCATCGGATTATTTGAAAGTTCGGTTCGGGTCGGGGTTAGTAAATCTTTAAAGAACCGGTACAACCCGTTATACTTTCGGATTCGGATCCCAATCGGTTCTTTGGTTTAAAAATACTTGATTTGTACCTACTTTGTAACGAAAACATAAGTAAAATTGGTTCTTCGGATTTAAAGTACCTAATGTGTAGTTATTTTATAACCAAAACATAAGTAAAATTGATTCTAAAATAAGAAAGGAACATCAAATTTGATCATTCAAAATCAAATGAAAGGTAAACATAGTTATTAATAGAAAGAAAACCAAATAAATGAAAGCATAAAACGAAAACCTAGTTCTTAAAGAATAAGAAACATTATTCAGTAATAACAAAACCTTAATCTAAAAATTTCAAGTTTCAACCGCCATCTTCAACCATCAACCTTCATGTAATAGATAATTATTTTAGATATTTAGTAATATCTTAAAATATTTTGATATATATTAGAAATTAAGATCATGTTTGGTACATATTCTTATTAAAAAATTTAAATGTTTCGGGATCTATTGGATATCCATTTAATTTCGGGTTCGGTTCGGATAATACCCATAACCCGAAATACCAAAAAACAAGATCCATTCGGTGTTTAAATCGGGTTCGGATCGATTCAGATTCATTTTTATCAGATCGGATTCGATTCGGATTTTCGGGTTCAGTTTATTTGCCCAGCCCTAAATTTAACTCACGATATCAACACTAACTTCAAAAAAAGGATAGACAGAGGTTACTTGGAATGTTTGATACAAAGCCACGCCGCTTCTCTATATCTTTCCTCTACTTGCTTAGTCCGTGATCAACCGAGAGCTGATGTGCAACGCCGTTCAGACACCACTCCCCGTGAGTCTCCAACATTAGAGCAACCACTAGCTTTTGACCATCGATTATAATCCCCGTTACAGCTGTTGTCCCTCCTTTACCAATCTTATGAGACTGACGCAATATTATCACTGCTTCTGTTGATATGTAAGCGTTTTTATAATATTCTCTTTGGCAGTTCAAAAAATCGTCTGAGAATAAACAAAAGCAACAAACGAATGGATCAGTTAGTAGAGTTCACAAAGGATTCTCTTTTTAGCATCAAATCAATATTTACCTCTTTAATAATGTTGCCAAAGAGATTAGTCTGCAAGTACTTGGCCACATCATGCACCAAGTCATTAAAAATGGCAAACAAACCAAGTTCATGGCAGTCAACTCTCTTGAATTCAGACACTACGAAATCCTCCATTGGATGACTTGACTCCCCAGACAAAGTGAAAAACATAAGTGATGTTCTTCCACATCTTGGTTTTGCCTCTTCCCATGCCAGACAGCCTTTAGTTAGTAATTCGGAGGAAAACAATGGAGTGAATACTGCAATCATACAAAGATCAAAGATTCAATCGCCAAAAAAAAAAAATCAAAGTAAGAACCTTCTAGATTCATTCACATACATGAACAAAAAGTCATAAACAAAACATAAAAATAGAAAACTACCATATTTGCACAGAATCTTCATGTAAACCCAAGAAGTTGCAGTTTGTTTTCGTTAAAGGCTAGAAGATAAGTGGAATTTAGTCAAATTCCTTTATCAGATCGCTAACAACAGTTCCAAACAAAGAACTAAAACCAGTCTCATGGATAAACAACAAAAAAGTGTCTGACAATAGAGAAAATCAGACCAAGACAGTAAGTGTATTTGACATGAAAACTTAAACAATAAAGGAAGAACCTATTTCAAACAGCTAAGTTGCAGCTGGTTTTCAGATTTTTTTCTCAGGTGTGTTCTGCAACACTTGAGTAATTGGGAATTGTAACTCTTCTGCAATCGAAAACATTACAGAAAACTCTATACATTCAAGTTAAATGGTTATATCACCAAGCAAACGAAATATGCAAATCTAAAAAAACAAGTGAAAGCAGATGAACAAACCTGAATGATTTGGCACTCTAACACCCATCGCTGCTTGAGAACGAAGAGCCCGGCATAAAGGAACCCAGTCACGAACCCTCTAAATCTTGTTCACAATCACTCCAGTCGAGAAGAGAACTCAGCCACGGATCAGAGGCCGTCGAAGCCAGTGGCGGAGACGAAACGCGCAATGCGCAGAGAGACACGAGAGCCGCGGTGGAAGTCTGGATCCGAGAGCTGGCGGAGGAGGCCGAGGGTGAATTGGAGAGGAGAGAGAGGAGAATCTGAGGTTGGTGAAAAGAGGAGAGCGAGTGAGATGGAGAAGATGAGTTGTGAGGCATGGAAGACGACGAAAGAGAGGAGGAAGGAGATGATGGAAGCGGTGGCGGGGCCATTCTTTTTTTTTTCTTTTTTTTTTTTGACAACAACATAACTAAAAACTATCATGTATGCAATGAAGCCATTCTCTCTATATTTTATTTTAACGCTAACCATTCCCTCTAGGGTCAATAAAATATATAAAACTAGGTGATTTTCTGTGCTCATGCACGGGTATAAATATTTATCAAGTAAATATATTGTGGCATATTCTAGTTTATAAATTTAGGTAGATATGTACTTTTACTTATAATTAGTTTATAATTTATATGTATAACTTATATTATATTATTTTAATTATACATACGATTTGGGAGATGTTATATTTAATCGGTTTGGTTGTTTTTTTGGTCAATAATCGATTTGGTTACACTTGTGTATTTTAGATTATATCTATTTTTTTGAATTCAACTATAATATTTTTTTCTAAATATATTAAAACTTTGATTATTATTGCATTTAGATTGGTTATCACTTATATATGTAAATATATTTTATTAAAATTATGTATAATTTAATATATATTATGCTTATAATGAAATTAAAAATAAACTGAAATTTTGATTCAAAATTACATAAATGAATATACCGATAATATTCTGAAGTCTCATTCACATATATAAATTTTACAAAAAAAAACTTAATTATAACAATTGGTTAATAATTTATTTTTACATATTGATATTTTTGAGTCATCCTATAATCTATATGTATAAAAATAAAATAATTATTATTCTAAAATTATATGTTCTTGATGTAGTTAGATCTTTTATTTTGGATATAAGTTAGATTCTTCCCGTTACTCGTTTTGTGAGTATATTGAGCTATATATATTTACTAATTCAAATGAAAATATAATTATTTTTGTTCTAATTAAATCAAATCATATTAGTTTTATTTATCGCTTAATGCAAGTATTTTCTAATAAATTAATAATTGGATACATGTTGATTTACTTGAGTATTTTGATTATTTATATATTAAGTTCCGCAAACATAAGAAAAACATAACATTAAAAAGAATTTTTAACAATGATAAAATATTATATTTCCATTTCATTAATAGTGTATAGTGAGTGCTATGTTGTTTAAAAGTATTTTGAAATTACTTGATCAAATTACTTGTCCAGCCACCACCAGCCCTCTTTTCCTATAAATACCCAGGCTTATCCATCACCTTTAGCTGCCAAAAACCGTGAGAGCTTACCTTAGGGAGAGAGAGGTGAGTTTAGAGAGAGAAACCGAATTTTGAGAAAGTTTTCGGTTTGGTTTTGTTAAGCGTTTTGGAGCTTGATCCGGTGGTGTCTGGGGGTCTTCGTGGGCAGCAACCAAGGTGGGTTCCGAAGACTTGTGCTTTGTGTTTATGCATGCAGGTGTGGAGTTAGACCGATGGGTCATAAGAGGAGACCCGAGGCATAGTATAACCGGTTTTGGTGGGGGGGCCTCAGGGAAGTGTGTGCCGCATGCATACATTATTCGGTTGTGGTGTTGTGTCATTATCTAGATGTTGTTAGGGTGTGTTCATGCTTGTGTGATGGCATGATTAACTAGATAATGTACTATCGTTGAACCGCAAGAGATCGAGAGAGTCTCTCTCTTGTCGGGTGGGTTGTTGATTATTGGTTACATGCATTGTTTATGTGTTGCATGTAGTCTAGGTGCATTTTGGGTTGTGTTGCATCTAGATTGGTACTAGCATTGGGTGTGTTGCGGGTCTATACCAGGCTGCGTGTTGGAGGCGGAGCTCCCTCACGCTGTGTGTGATTGGTTGGTTAGAGCCTTCGGTCTAGACCAGCACGAGTGCTAGCGTTGTGATGGGTTGACGCCCATGTGCATTCAGTCCGGATGCGTGCGTGTTGGGTTGTAGTCCTTACACGTGAATTCGTGTGAGACGCAACGGTCTAGTTTTGTGGCATTTCCGGGACGTTCCGGGTTAGTCCGACCTAGGACGGTTCGGGGGTGTTAAGTGATCATGCAAGTTTTGGGCAAAGGAATTCATCAAATTCCTTCAAACCTTTTTATCTAAAGTTCATAAGAAACCCAGGAAGTGTGCTGGAGTGGGCTAAACCCCAAGAATTTCAAGTTTGGAGATTAAAGGCCCATGAAGCCCAAAAATCCCCATTTTGCCGATTTTAAAAATAAGAGGAAGGGAGTATGGAAACATGTCAGGCACGAAAGCGAGTATTTATTGGTTCATAAGCATCACATGGAGGTCTAGGAAAGCTAGGGAAACAAGGCTATGGAGTAGATTTGGTATGTGTTCACCAAAGGAGCCATTTTGGAGCTAAAATGTGATGTGGTGGCAACCTGAGCTAAGAAGCGAATTTCGTACTGAGATTTTGTACACTGAACGTGGTTAGCAAGGTAGTAAACATTCTAGAAGATGGGACGTTTTGGAGCCGGATCAATGTATTTGCATGCATGCATGAATTTGGAGCTTAAAATGGTAACATGTGTCCCACCATGAATCTTGTGTTCACACACGGAATTTTGGCTATAAATAGGACCCTTATGCTTCATTTATGAGAGTTTTTAACCCCTGAGCCTTTCTCTCTTAGTCGTGACCATAGCTCCATTTAGAGTGAGAAAGTGACCAAAACCGATAAATTTTCCCTAAGTATGTGAGGTGAGTGTTGAGGCTCTTTGCGTGTGTTCTCCTTAACCTAGGAGGTGATGTGGTGTGCTAGGAAGGGTGGTAAGAGTTTTGGTTGTGGTTAGAATTCGTTTCTCCCTTTTAGCCGTGAGCCCCATTTTAACCGGTTTTGGTGTTAACCTTAGGTCTTTGGCTTTTGGAGGTCTTTGCGGCTTCTCAAGACCGACCCGAAGAAGTCTTGACGTGAAGCCTAGGAAAGAGTGTTGTGATGAGGATAGAGAGTGAAGTTCAAGCTTGGATCTGGCGTGTATTGGTGATCAAGACTAAGTTATTTCCTAAGGAGGGGAGACACCAAGTAAAGACCAAGGAAGAGGAAGAACAAAGCTTAGGTAGAGGAGCAATCAAATCATGAAGGAAGAGAATGGTGTTACCATGGGCTAAATGGTGGTACCTCGAGTCAATTGATGGTAAGTCGTCGGTACCATGGGCTAAATGGCGGTATCTCAAGGGAGTGCAGAATTGCTTTGAAAAGAAGTGCCCGAGGTTTCCTTGAAGATTAACAAGAGGAAGATCAAGACGGAAGAGACTTAGAAAGAGTCCAAGAAAGTATGAAGCTCAAGAGCAGAAGAGAAATGTCTTGGGAATTCGAGGACGAATTCATTTAAGGAGGGGAGAATGTAATACCCCTGATCAGACGTCCCAAGTCAACGAAAGTCAACGACCCAGGATCGACCAAGACTTGCTGTGGGATGGTACTAGAAGTGAAGAATAGAGGTTCAGTCGAAGCAAATTGGAGGTTGGTCTAAGGTTTTGGTCGAATCGATTGCTTTGCTCGCCAACTTGTGACGCTTACGGGTCGTCTTGGGTTAGTCCGACCTAGGACGGTTCGGGGGTGTTACAAAGGTTATTATGTGTTTATATATAAAGGTTTATATTTCATAAATATTTTCTTTTTTATTTATGTGTTTTAAAAAAGTAAACTTATATTAAAAAATTACGTAAAATCTTATTATGAAAAGAAAATACATTATTAATATCAATTAAATAAACACTAAACATGTTATTTTAGGAAAATTTTGAAAATATTATTAAATTTCGTTTATATATAAAGATTTATATTTCATAAATATTTCCTTTTTTATTTATGTGTTTTAAGAAAGTAAATTTATATTTAAAAAATTAAGTAAAATCTTATTATGAAAAAAGGAAATACATTATTAATCTCATTAAGGGTATCTATGTAATTAAACATCGTGAGAGTTAATGTGAGCGTGACACGTATGAAACTGACTTCTCAAATAATATTATAGAGATAGACATAATTAAATATTAAACTATATTAAATCATCCATATATTACCGTTGAAATAGTTGATATAGTTAAGAAAAACCACACGGTTAGCAAAATCTAAAACATAATTAAAAAAGAAAAACATGTGAAAAGAAAGTGGTTAATTATTCTGTAAGATGGAAATTTTAGATTTTTCAGAAAAAAAGAAGATACAAATAAAAGTAATAATTAAATGATCATTAAATTATTGGGTATCACGCGAGGTAAAGCCAGAAGTCAGTCTAAAATCATAGATCTAATTATATAAAGTAAGCTTTTCTTCCCTTCTGTTCCGCCACGTCATCAATTAGTGGTCTCCCGAGCTGACACGTGTCCTTTTAACTTTACAATTTTTGAATATATGGTTTCTAATGGGCTAAGACAGGAAAAAAATTGGCCCGTTAAAAATGGCCCTTAGTCTCTCTATCTTCACGAGATATCGCCGTCCTCTACCCTGTTTCTTAATGTCGAGTGAGACGAATGGTTGTGAAGAAGCTTTGTGACGAACTTCGATTCCGTCGTTTGGGCTTCGGTATCCTCCGAGACGTTACAAGAGTCTTGATCTATTGCCTTTAAGAAGCTTCTTAACTCCATCAAGCACATCAACCATGATGTCTCAATCAGTGCTATCTTAGAGGCGGTGAATCTCCACCTATAAAAAAGATCAGCCTTCATACTCTGAACATCATCCTCATACTTCATAACAGTAGAAACTTCTTTTTCACATTTTAATCGATATTTAGATCGACTTCAGACATTGAAACCAAACTCCGGGAAGAGAAAGTTGACTTTAGCTGGCAATGGCAAGGAGTCTCAACCTTCGTTGACTCACACAGCCACCAATTCAGAGGTTTTTTATTTCACAATCTCTCTCTTGCATGTGACTATAAGAAAGTGTTATTTATGGATTCGTGAACCGTATTTATAAGCGTATGTGTTAGCTCAGTGCAAGATATACTCTTGAGGTGTTGATTTGGGGATCTGTGATTAGGTTTCAGGAGAGATTGTTGGATCCAAGAGAAGCAAGCAGGATTAGGCAGGAAGCAGTAAAAAGTTAATAGAGATATGTGTGTGGGATATTACGATTTGCAGTATA